CTGTCTGTTCACTTCTTACAAATACCAGATTTTACCCCATTCAGTAAAACCATTTGTGTTTTGACTTTCATGTTTGTCAAGTGACAGTACCTTAACTTTGTTTATGTGCTAACTTTGTACAGTTCTTGAAAACTTTTTAAGGCAGTGTAGCCTGTCTAGTTTCAGGTTTTCTTTAAAGCTTGAAGTTTTTGACATATGCTTTGTCCCTGTTGGATCGTACACGTTTTGCACAGAAATTCTCTGTGGTTCCGCTCAGAATGAGAACTTGCATTTGCCCCACCATCCTTCTTCATTGCCCTCATTTGCCAACTGTTGTTAGTTCAAGGGCAATGTCTACTGTTGGGTGTTCATGGAACACTTGTCATGAACACATGTGAGTATGAACAGTCAAAATTAATGCAAATGTACGCCTCAAGGAAACTGTCCATTTGCCGGGTACATAACGTTCCTTTTAGGCAACAAAATTCCTCGCAATCTAAAGAATGAAGTGTAAGAACAAACCCAATGAAGTTTTGGCTCATGAATGCTATGTTTTCCAGGAAAACAATAGTCTTAGGATTCTGATTTTAGACCAAAAGTTGCTGAGGCATGTTTTGAATTGAATTCAGTCCCTGGGACATGTTTTCACATTTAGTCGAATGCGGCTATACTGTGTCACACACTGAACCGATGAATTATAGCTATCATGTGGCCATGTGTGTCGTGTCAGTGCTTGAATACACTTCTAATGGCATTTTCCCAGATATGCGTGTTTAGACACATCGTTGGAAATGGCCCTCTTCCATTGTTTTCTTTAACCTGAGAGCTTTCATGAAAGAATGATTTCACAGGGAGTTTAATCCAATAACCTTTTCAACCCAAGTATGCTCTTCAACAATAATTTCATCATTTACTCTTTGGATAACTGCAAATGATGGACTGTACACTTTAATCTTCATCAAACCAGATCTTGACCAAGTTGACGGTCGACGAGTTGAAGCTTGTCATCCCCAAAACTATCATTCTACCCAGGACTATCTCACTCAAACCAGGGAACACTTTCCTCCTCGGAGGACTCGGAAGGTTAGATTATTTGGAGGTGAGATGGCTTGACTATTTTGTGTATTCAGTCTCGCACTTTAGAGGTAAAAATAGTGATTCAAGGCACAGTTGTGTCCATCTCATTTTCACTTTAATACATGGACCCTGTCACAGTGTTTCTTTCATTCAGACGTCGGCAAATCCTCATAAAAGGTCCATCATTAAAACTTTGTACAAATATTTTTTGGTAATTTCCCTCGTTCTTCACGTTACATGTGTACAAGAAGTTTTCTTAGAGGTACATTACAGCTTACAATATCATTTGTCATCTTGTATGCACCAAAACAAGTGGTTTGTCTGCATCAAGCCTTATAGGCTCTAGCAACAGTTAAATTTGAAGGAACAGTTTAAGATGATACAACCTCATCTTAAACTATTGCTATGGTTACAACCAATCAGCTTTGAGGATTTAAGTTTGTTGTAAAAGATGAGTCACCAAGTGAAATCAGAATGTCGATAAGTTTATAATGGTTAAGTTTGCAGGTGCCATCAATGTATCGTTTTAATGCCCTTGTTATTCGCATTGCATATGAAAGGACAAAAGCAAATGCTCTGTTGACTTTGGTAGAATTAAATAGCATTTCAATACCTTCTGTTTTTCAATTTCTTTGCAGGGTCGGATGGCTGCATTCTTCACAGTCTTTGCCTCCAAAGACTTACCAATGCGAATTATTCCAACAGCTGGGGCAGATGAAGTTCATCAAGGCTTGGCTGACAGGAATCACCTGACGGTAATGATACTACCCCTTTTTGTTTTCCAGTTCACTGACTCTTTATCATCCATAACGGTACAGTCTCTGGCCACAATTTGTCAAAACTTACAGGTGTACTCTCTTGGCATCCTGCAGTATAGGTGTTGGCTATTGTGGTAGCTCCATTCGTCCAAACATTGTACAGCATCGCTGATGTAGTATTTCTGTAAAGAGTTTGGAAATTCACTGTTGTGTTTAGGTTCCCCTTGGTGGGCCAGAGCGAATGAAAACCTTCCCTGCCATGCAGCCAGTGGAGATGAAAGTCGTTGGACAAGGCTGGCACTGCAGTGCTGCAGATGTCCTGTTCTCTTCAACAGGTCAGTAGCCGACAAGGACAGAAACTTGCTAAGCACACGTGTTCTCTGCTCAGCCCCAAACAGGTTATCAGCCCAAATACCTTGTAGTGTGTATTGCTAGCAACTGATTCCCTGCTGGCTTTTGCTAGGCACTTGAGTTTCTCAAGCAATGTTTTCTGCTGAGATGCACTGCGATGCTGGACCTCACACAGGTGCTGCATGAACTCCATACTCGGTTTCCCCTTCAGCATAGCAATGCTTAAAAAATATTTGTGCCAGTTTTATACTTTAAATGCATTGTTTGTCTTGAAATAAGGGAATACATAGGTGCCTCTTGTTCAGGAGCACGGGTGATGATAATTTCCAGGCTGAAGGCCAGGGATCTTATCAGCCTCCATTCTTCAGAGCAAAACACATGTTTATTTCTATTCATAAATACCTTTTGAGTCACAATGAAGACAAGTTTTAAACTTATAAATGTCCAGCGATGTAGTAGTGGTTGTCGTAGCCCAAATCCTGTGCAATTTTTTTAGTAGTTCACCAAAGATTACTCCATGTCTTCATCCTGTGTCTTGAACCCCTCAGGTTGGGTCGCAGTGACAACAGCCAAGGGAGAGGAGGTCCACCTCAGGGCTTTCACCCCTGGGGGTCACGGCTGCCTCCTCCGACAGCCCGCCCTGCTCCCCTATGTGGTCAACCTCCGGGGAGACCGGACGGCCAAGAAGAGCCCATACTTCAAGCTGGACAGGCACAAACTGACACGCTTTTTGTGAGGTAATTGTGGCTTTCTTTGATCCAGCTTTTGAGGCCGGGGATACCAGGCCAGGTTCCAATTTCTGCGTCCTAAGCAAAACTAGGTTGAGAACCAGTCACGAGAATCATGCCCATAAAGTGTATTACGTTTGCCTGGTAAATTTCGTTTGGTTGAAAAAATGTATTTTGTACTTTCCGAATATCTTTCAGGGTTCCCATGGTCATGGTAAATCTTGGGAAAAAGTTGTCCTGGAAAGTCATGGAAAATTTGAGGGAAAAGAGTGTCCTGCAGTCCCATTGTTGGAAGGAAAATGTCATGGAAAGGTCATGGAAATCAAGATCATGCAAGGGTTATTTTCGGTGGGCCGCTTACAGTGTGATTACGGAATAATGATGAATTTGCAGGCTACATGTATATACCCTGTTCTTATCAGTATAGTAATGGCTATGGCAGTCTTCCAGTTCATAATACAAAACCACTTTTCCCTGCAGAATGACGTGAAATGTTATGGAAATTGTCATGCTTTCGTCCTGGAAAGTCCTGGAAAAGTCATGAATTGGGTTTTCAGATTCCCACGGGAGCCTTGTCTTTGCTTCAATAGCTCCATGCATTCATCTGAATGCACACATTCACATGCATGGCATAGAGAAACAGCATTAAATTGTGTTTAAGCCACAGTAATATTTTGCACTGTTACCGCTGAAGGCAAAGTTAAGTTGGCCTATCTACAGTGTCCAGTAAAGCAGTGGAGTACATTGTAGCTCTGGTTCCTCTTTACAGTTTATTTTCAATTTGTGAGCAACATATCATGGTTACACTAACACAGGGCTTCACTGACTTCTTTGACATGCCAAAACGATTCCTTTTACAATGTTGATCAATATTTGTGCCATGTTATTTTCAGGCATGCAACTTTTCCTCTGATCAGCTGATTTTCTTGTTTTTCACTTCACACTCATGCCACTGAAAATTGAAAAATCCTGTAAAAAGTATTGTAAAGACTGGAGTTTCCTTTTTTTGGTCAAAGTCCCAGTTGCATGCCTCTGTTAAAAACCCTCCTTTGGTTTTACGGCACAAATATGCACGAGTGCCCACAGTCACTCTCTTGCATGTGTTTTCTATATGGAACACAAACATGCACAGGTTCAGTGGGTACACAGTAGGTTGCCAGCACAAAGTGACCCAGGGTCTTTCGTGCAGTCCCCTTCACTGCATTTGGTTTACTGCACAGTTATGCACATGAAACAGTGAAGCACAGTTGTTGGGCAGTACAAAAGTGCAATCTGATATTCCTGTGTGGGACTGTTGGTGCAGTGCACAACACGACACAACTGTGCTTCCTTGAGGTGTTTACCGAGTGACACAAAGAGTGACTTCAGCATAGGAGGGTTTTAAGGCAGCTTTATCTTTTAAGTAAGTTCGAGAACTGACAATAGGATAATCAGTGACTTGCATCTGCATTCTGCACACTATGAAACAAGAGAAAATTCAGTGAAGCCTCTTGCCAATGTTTCAGCTGAAACTTTGTTAATAATAAATGGAAAGATTTGGAATGGCGCCCTCAAGTAGTCAATAGAAGCCAGTTTGTTTTTCTCCATGCGTCCTTGTATGCATGACCTGTATGTATACCTGGGTGCACACACTGTGTGCACCTGGGAAGTGTCAGTTAGCTCCTCTTGCATACATACATAAATCAGTTCCATGCATATGCATGCCGTGGGAGAAGTGCCAAGAGTGGCAAATGTCTCGTTATTCATTAAGCTGTTCCTTCTCAGCTGTCGCGTGGCTGCCGGCATCCGACAAGCCTAAAAACAGCCATCAATTAAGCATACAGACCAGGCTGAGGCGGAGATATTGCATTTTACATTGTGCAGGCTAGAGCACTGGCATTATTTACCGTGGGCTACGAAAGAAGTATGTTTCTGTTGCTCCATATGGAAAGGGAAGACATAGTCTTGCTTTCTCTCTTTTCAGTCTGAATTTGCAATCTTTACAGCCTAAATTTCAAGAAAATTGGTCTTGCTTTCAAAAATGAGGCTGTTCATAGTTTTCACATTTTTTGGCAAATTTTGTTATTTTTGTTGTTTGATATAATTGAAATGCCTTGGGAAGGATTTTTCGTAGGTGTACATGTAAGTCACTAACTTTCATGGCTCAGTGGTGATGGGTAAATTAGGGAGCATGATTGAAGGGCAACTGTGTAAAAATGTAAGAGCACAAGATCCCAGTTTTCAACCAAGAACAAAATGTTGACTAGAATGCAATCCATGCATTCAATTTTGTTTTCTGTCAGCACGATGGTGATGAGTATGGTACAAATTAGTCCAAGTTAACCGCGCTGAAGCATTGAAGTTTTTTTTCCATTGCATTCAGCTCTGTGCGCTCAGGTTCAGGTTGAATCAAACTTTGCATTTAGCAGGGTGCCATAGTTGCCAATTCCAGTTAGGACTGACGCAGTTTCATTGAATCAATTTTTGATATCGCTGTTCCGCGATTCACACATACCGAAATTGTCTTTTCAGTGGCAATCTAGCCATCCTCTAGAACAGCAGCATACATCTGTGTTAAAGCCAGGATAATTAAAATCTCATTTGGAAGATGCTTTTCCCCAAGATGTGTGACGCACATATGCACAAGTGCAGACAACTAATAGCACAGAATCTGAAGGCGCGAGGAGCTTTGATTGCATTGTGTGTGAGAAAATCCTCCCCCACTCTTCAAACATGCCTGAGCATCTGCGATGGAAAAAAGGGAAAACCTGTGAATTAAATTCCACCCTGCTGGTGAGAAATTGCCATGGTTGAGCCCACACATGTTGGAATAGAATTGATGGCAGGATTTCTTTGACAACCACAGCCTTTAGGCACAGAAAAGTGGCTGTTTTGTGTTTCTGATTTTTTTCCTATAGAGGCTGTAGTAGATCAATGATTAATCCAAGATTATTTCCACCATATAAAATCAATGATGAAAAACTATCATTATCAAGACTAATTGCATTCTTGCCTACATATGTATGTTTGTTTTTTATGGGGAGGGGAAACAGTAATGTTTGTCAATGAGGATATTAGAACTAATCCTTTTAATCAATCCAGATTTATTTCAAATGCAATTTGTTTAGTTGAATGAGACTGGGGGAAAATTAACAATGCTATTTCTTTTGAATTCATTCAAATTCACCTTGGGTTTCATTTCACAGAAATTCACAAATGAGCCAGTTTACTCCTGTGCGGTAACACACCTCGCTGCTCGCTATTTAACCTCCCCTCTCACCAGTGGAATTGTCTTCCGACAACAGCCAATGAACCTACTCTTCATCCAGACAGTCTATAAATAGCTCACTGGAGTGAGGAACATAATGCTTGTGTATACTCAGTATACCGATCGGGAGAGGGGATCGCAGCCAATTATGTACTGTTGTTGACGAACCAGCTGATGTCGTTACCATGCCAGTCCTGTTTGACAATGTATTTTATTTCTACACTCCGGATATCCTGTGTATATCATCAATATAATATTTCATGCTAATTAGCCTTTGAAAGTTGCTAATTTTTTCTTTAGTTTCCTTGTGTGTTCCGATGGTCAGGGAGCTTTATTGTGTATATATGCCCATGCATGCGTAAATTTGTTTCACATATCAAAATCCTATACTCACTTTTGACTAAGTTTCTTGCAGCAATGTGTTCTAAATATTATAATTCGCTGTTTTAACTCTTTCTGTATTTTCTTTTCTGGCTACTTACATGTACATGTATCTCTCCACATTCAATATTTATACTGTTACTGTACATATCTGTATTTATAGGAGCCAGAATGTATGAGTCCATGTGGTCACACACATGTAGAGTAACCTAACATATAACCTGTAAAATACTGTGCACATTTTGTGGGGAGCCTTATGGTTACCATGCCATTATTTTTGATTGCCAAATCCACCACCTGGTTTGATAGAATTGTCAAGGATTTCTCAGTTCTTACTTGATACATTGTTACTTTATGCAAGGCTTGCACCAAGAAATTTTTAAAAATTCTGTGCTACTTTTGGCTTGGAAGAATCCTCATAAAAATAGGGATAAGGCAGTCAGCTGCATTCCTAGCAATAACATGAGTAAGCCAATGAGTGAAATTAATTGATGCATTATGGCTCTGCTGGATCATTTCAGACCTGAAAAGAGGTCTTGCATGTATATTAGATAAGGTTAATCGCAGATGCATGTACGTACACACATGTACATGTATATGAATTAAATGTGGGTAAAGTCCAAACTGAAACAAGCTGTTTTCTGTCAAATAAGTTGACATTAATTTTTAAGAAAGGCTTAAATTTCCAATCTTCTTGGAACTTGGATGAATGCTGTTTTTGGTAGATATTAGAAGTGGATGTTGGTGCATTGTTAATGAGCAAAGCTTTTATTGCGGGTTGGTGTGCATACGGGTACATTGTCGAATTTCACAGAAACAACTGCGTTAACTTGGATTTACATTGTTTTCAGCTAAAGAAGAAAGACACAATGCACATTCCATAAATGTGTATGAAGTTTACATGAGGATGGTTTAGTCCCTAGCCTCTTGGTCAGGTTGAATAATAGATGACGTCAGAAGCCCCTCACATCACGCCTGGTTAATGAGGCTTGGCAGGCTTCCCTGTTATAGCTTTGCCTGAGATTAAGGAGCATTTTTTTTGGAGCTCACGACATCACTTGCTTTCCATATTATTACTGGGATTTTGTCCATTTCAAACCAACAAAGTTTGTTTATTTGCACCGTCGGAAAATTTAGTCGTTTCAATGTGTGTTTTATTCCTATACATGTACTTCCAAAATGGTCTGTCTGGAGAGCTGCTTCTGGTCCATGTATGGTACATGTACATGTATGACTATGTGACTATAATATCTGGTCATGGTGAAAACTAATGGTTCAGATTTCAGCTGCATGTGAATCTAATATGTTTTCCATAATCTGTTTTTTTCCTTCTCATTTTACACATCACTAACCATTCTAATATAACTGTCCCAGATTCTCCTCTGCTCTCATGTTACATTGCCAAGTGCACAGCGCCCACGGTGGCAGTGTCCCGTCCTGAGGAAGTGACCTCTCAATATTCATGGGCACGTCATCGTGCCGCATGCTAGGATGCATTGATCCCAGTTGGTCACAAACCACAAGACACTGTGTTTCAATATGGTCTCACATATTATCATAACATATAGTCTCTTCTCAAAATCACTGATCACATTTTGGCATTGGCATTGCCTCTTTATTAGAAAACCTCTGAAAAATATTCATTGTGTAGATTGTTAAGGAGCTAGGCTACCAAGCATGGGTATTGTGGAGGAGAGGATTAGGGAACCGGGGGGGGGTGGACGAATGGGAGAATTCTAAAAAGGAAAGGAGAGGACATGAGGTTTACAGGTTTACATCACCAGTTCCGTTAAAATGCCCTAGTATTGATCCCCCTCAGATGTTAATTGATAGTTTGTCAGTCTGCACAGTTGAGTACTTTGCCTGCCTCAGAGTTAAAGCCCCTTGTCTTCATGATGCCCCTGCTTCCAGGACAATGGACTATGATTTTATTTTGATTTGTCATGACATTTGAATTACATTCCTTTCCATCATTTCACAGAGAGATTTTTGTCATGAGCTTGGCATTTGAATCCTTTTAATTGTAATTTTACTGAAATTCTTACATGCATTGGCATTTGTCCCCTGCCCTGCCAACTGCGGCAATGGGAAGTTTCGGTAACGTTTATGCCAAAAAGTGAGTCACCTAGTGGGCATCCGTAGAATGGCATCACATTTGTTTGATTGCATAGGGTGACAAATCCAAATCAGATGTAATGTACTTCATATGCTGTCTCACATTCCTGTTACATCATAAAGCTTTCTTGATAAATAAACATTGAGGAATTCCTGATCCTGTGTTTAATGCGTATGCATACGCGCATGTATGTTCATGAGCACGACGACAACATCAAATTTAATGTTGATCTTGGTGGTGTTGGCAGGTACATGTACATTTAATGACTGCTGGCATGCCAATGCAGTCCAGCCCGGCCATCACCCGAAGACTCAGAATTGTCATTGGTAATTCATTCACGGGAGATGGGAACGTTTAACACATTAGCGCCATGCAATTAGTTGAGGCAATGTCCGTGGCGAGCTGGAAGGGGGGGGGTTTGAGGATCTGCAGGGAGGCAGTTAAAAAGGAGGCAGTTGTGGCCGTCTGCACACGGTGTGTCTGGTGTGAATGCTGTGGTGATTGCCCACAGATCCGAAATGCATGGAGGAAGCTTAATGAGAAATGTCACCAGGGATATTGTTGCTGCATCTTTCATGAGATACCCTTCCTCTTTCTGGATTTCCTGAAGCCACTTCAGTCTTTTTGTGACTGAGGGCATCATTGAACCAGATTTTCATGTTTTCTTCCCCTTTGTATTGTTTGTTTTACCGTCACCATAATCATACTCTTGTTGTGATCCTCACTCTTTTGAGATAATTCATTTGATGTCTCAATTGTCAATGCTTTGTTTAACAGTCACCACTATCGTTTCGTCATTTCTGTCATTATCATCACCTTGGTCATTGTCACAACCCATTGTTGCTTTGGTTGTCACTGTCTTTGCGATAACTTTCATCCACACATTTGTCACTTTCACCTCACAATCATCACCGCAGCCACATCAGAGCCACATCTTCTCTTCGCCCTCACCACATCCTCGTTGCACAATTATTAGCAAATGATCACCATCTTCAGTCTTCCACCATAATGGCATTGCCTTTACATTCAACAGCATCAACCATCCCTTTTTAATAAACAGCACCGCTTCCACATCCCCATTACTACCTAAATCCAGGTAGCAAGTATGACCCATTTCAATTTTCATTACTCGTAAAACATTCATGATTGATATCCATGCCATCCTCATTTTCACAGCGATCACTATCATCCAGACTCATAACTGGAGATAGTAATTAGGCCATGGGGGGGGGGGAAGTTTACCAGCCAGGACTTTTGAAGAAAGGGAGGATGAGGCCATTTTATTTCTTTTCTTTTCTCATTCCTTTTTTTTTTTATGATGGCAATTTTCTGCCAAAGTCGATAAATGGATTTTCTGGACTGCACTGTTTGTATCAAGGAATGATCACCCTAATCCACAGGCTTTGAACAAGCAAGTGTAGCTACATATTTTATTCTAAATAAAAAGATAAAACACATTGCAGATTTAAAAAAGATAAAAGAAAAAAGGAGATACTGTAGATAGAGAAGCAGGGATGCATTCGGGATGAGAAAGTAATTGTCACTTGGCCAAATGTGTGCAAGAAGTTGTGCAGTTCTATTTCCCTGAAGTCACTGTAATTTTGTTAAAATCCAATCATTTGTTATGATCACGTTAATATCTCAACCACTGTGTCACGATTGCCATCTCGATTACCTTTTTTTTCTTCAGACGGGTCCATCTTAGGATAGATCACCCTTCTGTTATTCCAAATGTCACCTTTATGTTTTGGCAATAACCCAGAGCAGGCTGGCCAATTTTGAAAATGTCAATGAGATTACCATCGCAGCACAATGATGTACATGTACATTCAGGGCTTCACATCATGCCCTGCAATTACACCTACCAGTAGCCGGGAGATGTTTGCTCGGTGATATAAATACAGCCCCATGAAGATATGTTGTCATTTGTGTGCCAGAAGTCAATGCCTGGGCCATGCGATTGTGTAATAGTGGACAGTTAATTACGCCAAAGCCACTTGACAGAGGGCACACTTTTGTGAAATTGAACGTGGTTAATACTGTTTTCTTGACGGTGTGGTACATATATGTCTCCAAGCTAGATTGAACTTACAGATTGGGAAGAGAAATGAAAAATTAACACGCAGTAAAAAAAAAAAAACTCGCTACAGCATCAAAATGTAAGTGAAGGAGAAAAGACCATGCACCAAGTATTTACAAAATGATGTGTTTTGGAACCTTGGCACCAACAGCCATGTACAAAAGCAAACTGCGAGTAACTCTGTTTATGAGGGGACATTCAGTGTATACATTCATGTTTGTATACTGAAGTAAAGTTGTATAAATTAAGCTGTAGTGTGATGGTCACAGTGAGAAACAGGAGTTGAGGCCGGCTGTTTTGCATGGCAGCAGACATTTATGTGCACACTTTTGTGCAATTTGTCAGCAGTGTGCAACACATCATACAGCACATTGTGTATGAAAAATAAAGATCAGCTGTTGCACCCTTGATGGGGCTTTGGTTTTTTTTTTTTTGAAGAAAACAGGATTTAATATTGCCTGCCCATAGGATGGTTCATGACTAAATTTGCACAAAGCTTAATTTGGAGTAGTTTTTGCTGGCTTTTTTTTCTAAAGTCAATACGAAAAGAGCACCTGCACCCGATGTGAACATTCAGTAGAAAAATGTCCCCAAGCTAGGGACACCTTACTAATTGCATGAGTCCCGTTCAACTGCAAAAGAGAGCCCATGGAGTACACATTTACACAATGAAAATTACAAGTCTTGTCTAATCTGTGCATACATGAAAGTAGTTGTGGGGACGACTCATTGTGGGGGCCAAAAATGTCAATAGGACAAATTTTTGTCCTCGCCAACTTGACCTGGGTCCTGATTTTTCTAGTAAAAGAAATTGTCTTGTCAACTGTACAGTGAAGATTGCCTTTGTGCATAGGGCCTCGGGGCAGTGTTCTGTCATTAGGTAAATTACATGTACATTGGAGTGATGGGAATTTTCTGCTGTCCACACAAGTTTTTTGGTCTTCACAACATTGGTGTAATGAGGATTGTATGTCCCCACAATTGTGAAGTAAGTATGGGTGCCCATGCCGTGTGCTGCACCAAGGGAGATTGTTGTTTAGTAAAAAGAAGATCACTCTCTGTTGTTCATTGGTGGAGTCAACTTGCTCCATGCAGGAACAAGAGATGCTCTGCTTTTATATGTACATGTACAAGCACCACCTCAATGATACAAAACCACTGTGGAAATGCACATGTTCAGATTAAAACATGGTGAGAATGTGTAATCAGTATTTTTTTTTTAATTTATGCAACCTTTGTGTGTACCATTTGCAAAGCTTTTTCATTTGCATTTATTTCATTTATTTATTCGCCAGATGAAAGGACATGCCAAAATACGCAAATTACACACAAGAGGCACACCTAAAAACATCGAAATACATTACATGAGAGATATAAATAATTGCACAGTAACTAAAATACCAGAAAAACACCTCACCAGCCAGACTGCTCTAGCAAGCTATCAACACAGCACAAACACGCAACTACCAACCTTCAAATGCAACACAGCAATACTCACACTCTCTCACACATCCTGGTCATGTCCATGAAGGACAGCACCAACAACCTCTACACACATATACAGACAAACAAAAACATACAAACTGGGAGAACCTCTTGCAGGGATAACCAAAACAGTGACAGAGTCACTTTTAAAGTGGCTAAGCCTAAAATTCCCTATGAAACACAACAAGGACAACCCAAGCAAGAAAGCAGTGGTGTTGCTTCTCTCTCATGGAGAAGACAGGAAAAAGAGGAAAAGGAAACCAAAAGAAAAAAGAATATTATAATTATATTATGCTATTTAAAAGCTTTCTTTTTCTTGTTAAACCTTGAAATACTAAAAAAAAAGTTGATCAAACAAGGCTGAGAACAATCAAAAGCAGCAAATTTATAACCATCAGTGAGAGCATGCATATGAGAGAATTCAAAGTACCAAATATGACGTGACGTGAATCAGCAGAAAAAAGAGTGAACCTCAAATACCAAAAGGCACTTGGAAACAAAAAAGATGGCAAAATACCAATAGGTAAGTTGACATTTTTTTCCACCACTCAGTCTCTTCTTAGCTAGCGAGGGAATGCATCTATTCAAAATGGATAGGGGAATGACTCGGCATTTTTCCTTACTATACACCCAGTGCGCAATGTTTTTTCTCATCTCTGTTGTGGATATGCTGGCATGAATGTCAGTTTCAAGTGTCTTTGGCCATGGTTATGATGTCTGCAGAATGTCTGAATTAGCCAGCACTTGTCCGCCAGCACTTTTTTTTTCTGTTAGCACTTTCAGTAGACTTTGTTTGATATGATTATGCAAAGTGGTCGGAAGTTGGGGATGTGTGTTGCTGGTATGCGTGGTCCCTCATTTCCTGGCTAACAAAGCAGCCACCTATCGACTTACCGTACTGCCGATCATTTTTCTGTGTTAGTGGAAAGTCAGTTGGATAAACGGAATTCCCCATTTGACCTGGAACTGGGTTTCCGGAACTGACACTGAAAAATGTGGGTTAGAAAGTCAAAAGGGATTTCTTTTTTCTCACAAAAATGAAGGATTAGTGCACAAAGAGCTGAAATTCCAATCTGAGTCAAAGCTCATGACCTGGGCCACTGCAGAAAATGCCAAGTCATTCTTGTCGAACTCTTGGTAGACTACATTGATGGCATTACCTTAACTATCCATATGTTAGCCTTAGCTGTCCATACTGGTAATTGTCCTGCATATATTATTCATAACGTTTTTCCGCTTATTATTCATAAACGTTTTCCCTCTTGCACAAAAACTGGTGGCTCAGTTGCAGTCTGTATTGGTCATACATCAGTTGTACCAGTTTGGTAATATCTTTTGTCGGTGCATCAAATAAATGCACGAGGCATGAAAATTTATATGCGTACCTTTTTCCAAAGGTTCAGCACAAATATACATCATTATTAGACGGGTAGCCCAAATGTGAATATTTGGGTACATGTGCACTGTTGGTTTTTCCAGATGTGGTTTCTTAATGAAACCCTTGAAAATGGAGTTTTGTTTTCACTTGTCAGTTTTTGTTTTGCTAATCTGAGGATGTTTTGGCGCCTTTTTGGATTGTATTAAAATAAGTACATGTCTTTTCACATTCGCATTACCCTGTGATTTGTGGTGAAAATGTGTTGTTCGTCGTTCAGACCTCAAGGCTTTGTTGATTTGTGCACAAAAAACTGCCTGAATTTTATATTTGCTGGCCTAAATTTTCTGTTTCTTTGCTGATTCGTTGTTGTGTAATGAAATTACAGTTAGCCAACAAGCAGTCTTAAAATTTGTTCAACAGTAAGAAACTTTGAGGTTCACAGTTCAAACACAAAAACCTATAAAATCATGGATGCCTTCCCAGAATGACATCACAGCAAACATTTCAAAAAGTGCACATTTTACTACAGTTTACCAACAGTTGCAACAACAGCTCCATTGAAGAGAAGTAGGAAGTTGCAGAAAAAGTGTGTAATGAGAAAATCCATAATTTGGACTCTTTAAAAAAAATGGCGATTGAACTAGCTCCTCATGAGGTTGGAATACAAGTTAGTGTCTGAGGAGAAAATAGAGGAGAAAGGTAACATGGAAACCTTAAAACTCAGGGATGCAAGAAATACCAACAGAAAAGTATGTTTGGTTTTGAGTGAACAATTGATCCTATTACTTCCTCAGGAGATGGCTATGGAAAGTACATGTACATGTATATGCCATTGAATGAATAGCTACTCTGTACATGTACATGTGGGCTTACTGTGTTAAAAAAAAGTCCCCAATATTGTGAATCTTGGTAGTGTCTTGTTAGCTTTTCATATTGCAAAGATATATACAGGTACATGTACCTGCAACCCACATTTTATGGTCAAAATCATACAGGCAGGTTTAATGGTGCGCCAAATAGGGAGAAAAATACTGTCCTGAGCATAAAATACAGCTGTCCTCAGTGAACAGATGTAACAAAGCAAGCAATTACAATAATGAGCCATTCTATATATTTCAAAAAGCCAAGAACTTTCGGGAACAATGCGCACACATGAGTCGGTGTATGGCTGTGCTAATAAGACAGACTGTTGCGCACATGCATAACTGTTCTCAAAGAGCCTCGTACCGAGCATGTACTGTTGGTATCCCGTAACTGGTCACTGTTGTAAATTTTGAATTTGGTTATCCTTAATTAATAAACTTTAAGAATCTTCCAAATTACTCAACTGTGCAGTAAACCAGCATGTATGGCACATCCTTTGTACTTGTACTTACATAAAATAAAGACTTGAAAGCCTCATGTAAGTAAAAAGTGGCTTGTTATTAGATTTCATTGAGTGTCTGTTGCAGGTCGAATGATTTGCCTTGAAAAGTTAAGACTTTCAAAATTTAGACGAAATGAAACGTGCATGAACACAGTATCCAAAAAGGGGTTTGTTAAATCAAGTGAATGTTGATTCATATCCCTCTCTTTTGTTATAGGTAACTCAGAAAGTTGGTCTGGGGCTATGAAAACCCTCATGTGTTTCATAATGGGTTGCATACAACATTATCAACAGTAGACCTACCTGTAAAATGGCCATCAGATTTTGTAGCAAAGTGTGTGTGAAATCTCCTGTCAAGTTGTCATTTAGGTTAGCATTTGGGCCTGACGGAGAAGTCAATCTCTTCTTGTTGACCTCTTTGCCTTAAGGTCAGTTCTCTGTCTAATCACAGTCCACAGATGCTATCATCATCTGATATGTCTGGGGCATTTCCATTAAAAAAATAATCTGAATGAGACTTTCTCATCAAAGGCCCTGTCCGGTAGAGATCTTGAGTTGCAGTCATAATTTGTGTGGGAGATGATCAGATTCTGTGATTGCTGTGTGTGAGTTTCTTATCAGCCTAATGACTTTTCTTATCAAACATCATCCACAGTGACTGGTGGTCCTTGCGGTTTTTAAAATTACATGTTCACAATTTTCCCTCTATTAATTAGAAAAGTTCCGTAAAATTCCTTGAAAATGTCCAGAAAAGCGAGAACTTGAATAAAATTGTTTATTTTTATGACCTCTGCCCTACTAGTCTAGAATCATTTCTGACATTGTTCAAAAGATAGACTCAAAAGATTTGTAAAGCGTGTGGCGCTTCTTGATTTTTTGTTTTGTGTTTACATCATTTCTAGAAATCAAATAAGAACATATTTTCCAATCAAAGAGTTGTTCAGCCCCTCTAGAAATATTCTTAGCCATATATGATCTGATTTTGTGTTTGTGAGTTGCCAGAAGCAGCTGTACGTGAGCCAGCCCTATCTCTTTGTGTGAGACCAAACCCTCTTGTGACGTCATTTGTATGTGCACTTGTCACCGTTTAAACTTTCCATCAGCCGCCAGATAGTCAGAGTTGTTCTAGTGTCTCGTGATAGTTTCGTCTTCATAACGTTTGGTCCATCTGCGTCATTGTCAAAGAGGTAGATATGGAGCATGTTATCGCCTGTAGCCAAGCGGGTCACGACTCTGCTTCATTTGAGATGATGGTTCCCTGACCAGTATCTGATCCCCCAAGTGCATTTTTGTTCTCACTATCTCCCTCCCCGGGATGTGTTTTTGTCAGGAATGGCAGAGATGGCTGTTTACACTCATTTGTACCACTTGGAATGGTTGGACCGTGATCTGTCTCAGTGACCAGAGAGATAAATCACTGGTGATCATGGCCTTTGACAATATTTCTGCGGGGAAAGCGAGGTGACATGAATGGAATTCAAGCACAAACGTGCATTTTCTCATCCTTCAGTTTTCATACTATTATGGCAATGATGCTTCGTATATCATGAAAGTCTAGGAAATACAATCAGAAATTAACATTTCTGTTTGTCCCAGCATTAACAAGATTGTTTTTCAAAGTTGTAGAAGAGTCTTGTTTGGTCTTGTTAAACTTTAATTTGACTGATTTCAGATATCTCCCCACATCCATTAAGCTCTCAAAATATCATGTTTTCCCACACGTTGATTTTTATTTCTGGTGTTTACAATAGCTTATACAGTAACGGATTTTGGGGAAACCAAATGTCATTCTTCCTTTATTTTTTTTTTTTGGGGGGGAGTATGATTCATCTTTCCTCGGTTATTTTTTTTCCTCTGTGGTGCCAGCTGGTTATTTGATAAATTTCAAGATAAAAAATATGCCCCACTGGTATGCGTACAGTATGTTAAGGTTCACTTCCATTGACGTTGTCCCTTTTGTGGGAATTCTAGGTGGGTTCCCCGCCCATGATACCGGGCACTATATGTAGCAGAGGGAGACTCCCCCCCCCGTGATCACACAAGCTACATGCATAAACCCTAGGCTTACGTACCTACTGCATCCTCCCTGAAAATCTAAAAGAATTTCCGAGATACCTACAATACAAAAGAACACACAAAAGAGGAGGGATTCCCCTTTGCCATATCTCATGTATCATACCTCACCCCCTTAATGCTGTTGCCATGACTGATTTTATACAGCTTGCTCATCTAAATTTTGTAGATGTTTGTGCCTTAGAATGTGGATCAACCTGTAAAACAAAATACATTTAGTGGGAGCCATTTTGCTGACCGTAACTTATCTACTGTATCGGTTTAGATTGAACAAGTCATTGCAAAACATCTTGAAAATATGGCATGATGAACCCCTGTTTCCCCATCGTACGTTACTCCTGTGCAATATGTGTGCAAGTACTTGGAGATCATATGTGATATGCACAGTTTCCTTGTTAACAATTCAGCGGAAGTGCCGCGATGTTTTTCCCACTCGCTTTTCTCTTTCACATGATTGATTTAAAGCTTAGAGGAGGCCCACGCCAGAACGTGCCACTAATAAACGCTGCCGTGTGTGTGCAATTCCGGGGAGGGAGGGGGGTTGAATTTCCATTTGCAAGATTGACAGTTTCATTTGTTTTTTGTTGTCATCTCTTCCCCGGTCTCAGCCCACGTTTTCAATTTTTAAATTTTTTGGGGGGTAGTTCACAAATCCCTTGAAACTTGTCGTGTTCATTTACACTCAGTGCACTAAACTTGATTAATCAAAAAAAAAAAATTTGGCCTGATTCTGTTTTGTGGAAAGCATCTTCATAGCCAGTGTGTGTTCTTGCACTGTGTGAAGTCTGTAATTGTATCGATTTGCAACTGATGGTGGTACCTGCACAACTGACAAGATGACAAATTTGAACCAGCTGGACTCTAAGGGTGTTAATAAAGAGCCTTTCATATGTACATGTAAATGTCTCTGAAGACCTTTAGATGTATCTATGCTGCAGTCCAATTCTTACTGCAAGGACACAATGACAGTGCTTTGTATTAACGGGCAGGATATTTTCTAGTTATTAAATGGCAAAATTAATACCTCTGAATGGACTTTTCAAGGCCCACCATCATGCAAGGGTCTACTAAAAGGCTTTTATTATTCTTCCCAATAAGCTATTGCACATGCTGTATCTTAAATTGGGGGCTCTGTAGATTTTAATCCAATTTTTAATCAAGTGGCGATATTTACAAATGTGGGATTAGTTTGGGCTCATTTTACAGTATAATCATTGATCATAACGCATGAATATGTTTTTGCCTAATAATATAATGCTCAACTAACCCTGCAGTATTTTTTTTATTTTAAATGAGGCAATGATTATCTAGAAAGGAGGAAGTGGCCACGACGGTTTGAGTGCGGGGAATATGAACATCCGTCTGTCATTAGATGGAGCTGCCTTGACGTGGGATGGAGGTGGCACACGTGGCTGTGAGCACGATCCAAGATGATTGTGTGCATATCCTACCCCCGCTGTGTGAGTGTCCGTCATCTAGTCTGGGTTCTTTGGGTTCACAGTGGTCCGGAAAAGGAGGGGGTGAAATGCGGGGGGGGGATGTAAAAAGGATTTCTACTGCACCTGCTGATGTACATTCCACTGTTGGAGTTCGCATTGATTGGCGAGAGTTCCTTCACCCGTCCCTGCGGGGACATGCTTACGCCCTTTTCCGGTAGTTTCTGCATGTTCACTGTATGCCTTGTCACTTGCTATGCACAGGTCAGTTTGTTTGTGTCACAATTTTTCACGTTCCAATTAATACAGAGAATTCCCAGGAATAGTGACACATCCGGAAAGGCGAGTGTGAATTTTGACACATAGCATTGCATTGAATAACGAGAAAAATACCACCGTTTAGCTACCATCTGTATAAAAAGTTCTGTAACTCTTTACATGCAAATTGTATTGTACATGTACATGTACCTACACAGATATTTTTAATTTCCTCATCTGGGAAATGCATTCTTCAGATATTTCAACATGAATCAAATTTATCTCCTCAACATGAAATCACATTCAATCAGTAAAAAGATTGTTTCTGCTCCTTGTAACTCCCTCCCTGTCTTCCGAGAGGTGTTCAGGATTTTGCTGTGTCACCCAGCAAATAGCTTTTTCAGATAGCCGGCAAATTTAGTCTTGGAATTCTGTTCCGTTTGTGGCAGTTGCACAGCATTGTGTCCCAGTGGACGAGCCTGAGTTTCTGCCTGTCTGTCGCCTTATATTTCCAACGTGGTCATTGTTTGCTCAGCATTTATGAGTTAATACAGCATTTTCTGCTAAAGTATGGAAAAACATGCACATTTCCAGATCAATATGCCTTTTTCTGAGACAGCTGTGCAAGTGCGTGTAGAGCTTGCCTGCATGTGTTTATTCATGAAGCCTGCATCACTGTGATGGATGATGCTGCCAATATCATGTTGTACGTATACTAGTATCTGTTTTTCAGGTATTCTTGCAACTTGAAGTATCCAAATGTGTCATTAGGATGATTGTTGTGCAGTGTTTTTTGAGGATTCAGGCAATTATTGTGCTATTCTGTCCTCAAGTCAATCCCCCCCTTTCCGCGCCACACTTAACACATCCCTACGAAGTTGGCCACAGCGTCATGAATACTAATGAGGCCTCTTGTCCCGGCCCATTACGTCAATTGAGGGGCGTCGGGGAGCTACAAGCCCCTCGACCGTCGAAAGCCATCCCTCTGGGCCCTGCTGGCATCCCAGGCTATTCCTTGTCCAAGCAGGCTGGCGGATATTTTGCAGTGTTTGCTGATCAGGGCCCCCTCTTGCAGGAGTGTTTGCCAGACGTGTTGATAATTCCCAATCCCGCCCCCTTCCCATCTTGACATCTTCTGGCCAAAATACAGGGCACTTCTGATCCCTTCCTAGCCTGTGCAGAAACAACCTATTAAAAAGATCTGATGGCGTGTTGACGTTTCCTTTCATTTTTGTTTTGTTCGATTAGGAAAGGTGGCTAAAGAGAGGTGGCTTGTAAGGTTTGCATGTGTTATGTATGTGTGCCCGCAAACACATAGATTACCTAGCCAGTTTCTTCTGCATAGCAGCTCCAAGATGTTGGGCACACAGATTAGGGAGCTTGCTCATTCATTTGACCAATTATAGCTTTTTTCAGTTGACTGGGCAACAGAATATGCTCAAAAATTCAACTACTTGTAGGACGCTTGCAGCTACAGATAACATTCCTGGTAACCTCAAAAGAGATTCTGCATGATTTTGAAGTTTTATTTCACCATGGGGAGTGTAGCTTATTAGGTGTAAAGGTTTGTATCTTATGATGGGAGGGTCCAGGGTTCTGATCCAACTGCTGGCCTTAGGCTAGCCATTTTCAGCTTTGCACTTGCGATACTGGCATCAGTTGGGGAGCAATCCAGGCTGGACTGGCATCCCCTTCAGGAGGGGAAAGGAAATATTTTTCAGTCAGTTCTTGCCAAGATAACTGGAGTTAAAATTAAATGGTCTGATGAACCCCCCCCCCACATGGCTTGAGACCGACTTTACTTCTACATCGCAACACAACTTCACGGGTGATCTTTTTGATGAAGGCCGTACTCTGACAGGTTTGTAGTTTGAAACATCAAGCACCTTGTGAAGGCAGACTTTCACAGTAGCATCTCTGCACATCAGTCATGCAACCATTGATATGCATTCCAACCACCAGTCGTTAAGAATTCCAATGTTTTCAAGAAATATTCATAGCATGATCCTTAGTAGCACCT